CCACAAGTCTGAGTTTCCAGCATGACCATCCCTCAGATGGTGCACATGTCACTCATTATGTATGTATATACCCGCCCGCCTCCCCCCTCTCACCTGCCCAATACCCTATTACTGTAGTACCTATGTGTCCACTTAGGTGCTACTCAGTTAATACCAGTTTGCTGGTTAGTGTATGTGGTGCTTGTTTCTCCATTCTTGGGATACTTCACTTAGTAGTATGGGTTCCAGCTCTAACCAGGAAAATATAAGATGTGCTATATCACCATTGTTTCTTAGAGCTGAATAGTACTCCATGGTATACATATACCACATTTTATTAATCCATTCTTGAACTGATGGGCACTTGGGCTGTTTCCACAGCCTTGCGATTATGAATTGTGCTGCTATAAACATTTGAGTGCAGGTGTCTTTTTTGTAGAGTGTCATTGGATCTTTTGGGTAGATGCCCAGCAATGGGATTGCTGGATCAAATGGTAGATTCACTTGTATCACTTTAAGGTATCTCCATATTGCTTTCCACAGAGGTTGAACTAGTTTGCAGTCCCACCAGCAGTGTAGGAGTGTTCCTCTCCGCATCCACGCCAGCATTTGCTTTTACTTTTAATCCCATGTCTTATTGATGCCAACCTCGACACAATGCCGCCTCCCGAAGTGTTGTGAGTCCATTTCTCCCCCGTCCCAAGCCAGGACACATGCAAAAACGTCCTTGCACACCCACCATGAGCCATCCACTGTCTCATCTGATGTTAGTCCTTTTGATTTCTTTTTCTTTCAGAGTAGGGGTCCAGGATGAAGGGTGGGTGCAGTAATTTGTAGTTTCTCTGTTTTTGCTGGCGACATGCTGAAGAGAGCTGATCCGGACCAGCCCTAGCTGGGAAAGCTGCGTGGAGGGCGTGCCAAGCTCAGGCGGCCGTAGCCTTTGATTAAGAGCATTAAAAGGCATCTCTGGGCCTTGGGTTTTTTTCTGCTTTTGTTCTTGTCTGCAGGAGTGGTAGAGATGGAGACTGAAGAGGCTCAGTAGGCTGGCTGTGAAGAAAGTTGAAGAAAGCCTCTCTATTACCTAAGGAATATAAATCACACGTCAGAAGTTTGCAAAAGGAAATCTGAACAAAACTGTAGAAAATTCCAAGGCTCCTTATATTCTTTCTAGTCAGCTGTTACAAAGCATAGTCCAGCAAACTTAAATACCAGCATATCAAAACTCCCTCTGTTGTGATACAGGTTGAGCATCCCTCATCCAAAAATCTGGAATGCTCCAGAATCTACAACTTTTTGAGCACTGATATGACACTCAAAGAAAATGCTCACTAGATCATTTGGGATTTGGGATTTGCAGATTAGGAATGCTGAACCAAGTAAGTATAATGCAAAGATTCTGAAATCCAACAGAATCCAAAATCTGAAACACTCCTAGTACCAGGTATTTCAGATAAGAAATACTCAGCCTGTAGCATATATAGCACATCGAGCAGGAACAAGAAAAATGAAAGCAAGTGAGTTTACAATTTGTTTCCCCTTGATAATTAAGAAAAAAAATTGAACGTTATGAACATAATTATTCACCTTGTTAAGTACCCAGCATTTTCAGGCAGAAATACTTTGTAATTTGACATTTTCATCCAGTCATTCAACAAGTGTATTGTAGTTATATGACACAATAAGTCAGGGATGTTTTCATTCCACTTAGAATTTACAATACAATGAATAGACATGTTAAAAGTTAAATTATAATTAAGGGCTTAAATTATAAATAACTGCTATAATAAAGATATCCATAAAGCAATTTGAAAATCTAAAGGAAGAAATACTTGCTCCATGGAGATATTTGCCAAGGTTTTGCAGAGCAATTGACAGTTGAGATGAGTTTTGCGGAATGAGTAATCATCTTCCAGTTGGTTAGTAGGGGAGAAATTTGGGGCGTGGAGACCTACCAAGCAGAGGAAATCCATGTGTGAAGGCTTGATGTTGCAAAAAAACATGGCCCACAGAAGGAAAGGTGGGTTGTTCTAAGTAGTAGGGTGACATTCCGGAGTGCTATGACAAAGGAGACTGTTAGCCTTGGGAGTTTAGTTGAGATTATAAAGGGTTCATATCAAAATATGAACTTTTCCAAATGCCAATATCAATATGTGTTGGGGTGTTTTATTGTAAATCAAGTAAGATTAATATTCTGTTGTTCATCTTTATGTATATTAAAGACTTTGCAAATAGTGTTATACAAGGTTAGGCGAAATCAAAAGGCCATTCCAAAATTATCTTGGATCTGAGCAGATATCTGTAACAAATTCTCAAAAGCATAAAATGAAATTTTGTGATTTCTCATTAGATTACTAAATCAGTTGGGCAATCTTATAATTACAATGTCTATGTTGTTACAAGGGTTGACATGTTTTTACTTACTATGGCATCTAAAATATATGCCCACTGTGGTTATTCAGTGAGCTATAACAGAGCATTACAAAGTTCATTTTTGTTGTTCCTGTTGTTTGTTTCTGCTTTTCTTCCCCCCTCCCTCCATAAGACTACAGGGTTTTTGTTTGCTTGCTTGCTTGCTTTATTGTTTTGTTTGTTTCTTTTTTCTCCCTATGGGACTAAGGTTGCTATATCAACCTTAACAATGTAAAGTCTCAGTGACTTAAACAACACATGTTTATTTCTCATTCATGTTAAATGTCCCTTGTGGCTTAGCTAGGAACTTTGTTCCCCTTGTCTTCACTCACCTATACAGGCTGATGAAGACTTTACCATCTAGATCACCCCACTGTAGGTTGCGAAGGCAAGAAAAACAAAATAGAGAGAGAATCAAGATCTCTCCTATTAAGGACTAGCAGTAAAAGTAACAAATGTCACCCTTGCTGGTATTTCTTTGACTAAAATATACTATGTGGTTTTCCTTTCTTTTAAAAGAAGTTAAGGAGGTACAGTCCTATTACATATCTTAAAGGAAGACAACTCCAATTATTTGGGGACCACACTAAGTTGCTTTCTATGAATTAGTCAGCTTGGGCTGCCATAACCAAATACCATAGTCTGGGTGGCCTAAATAACAGAAATTTAGTTTTTCAAAGTTCTGCAGGCTGGAAGTCTAAAGTCAGGGTGCCAGCATGGTCAGGTTCTGGGGAGCGCCTCTTCTAGGCTTGGAGATGGTCCTCTTATTGCTGTGTTCTCACATGACAGAAAGACAGAGCTCAGGTATCTCTTCCTCTTATTTTAAGGGCACTAGCTCTATCAGATGAGGGCTCCAACCTGATGGTCTCCTTTAAGCTTAATCACTCCCTATTTACAATGCAATCATATGGGGGAATAGGATTTCAATATGTGAATTTATGGGGGACAAAATTCAGTCTACCCCTGCCCCGCCCAAGTTCATATCCTTGCATGCAAAATACATTCATTTCATCCCAACAGTCCCAAAAGTCTTAACTCATTTCAGCATCAACTCTAAAGTCCAAAGTCTCATCTAAATTTCTTCTCAATCAGATCTGGATAAGACTCAAGCATGATTCATCCTGCAAAATTCCTCTCTAGCTGTAACCCTGTGAAACCAGACAAATTATGTCCTCCCAAAATACAGTGGTAGACAGGCATAGGATAAAAATTCCCATTCTAAAAGAAGGAAGGTCCCAATCAAATCGAAAACTGTAGCAAGGTAAATTCTACTATATCTTAAGGCTCAAGAACAATCTTCTTTGGCTAAATATTCTGTGCTCACTGGGGTGGCAGCATCACACATGGCTCTGTAGGATGGCCTTGCCCCTTGGTGCTCTTGGTAGACCCAGCCTACATGCATCTTTGCCTGGGAGGCCTGACCCTTCAGGCACTGGGTGGGGTTATCCTGGCCAACCAGAACTGGAGAGGTATCCTGAGCCTCTGAAAGTGAGAGGAGGGAGACTTGTCCCCCGGACCTATGGTGGAACAGGCAGCCCTGATGATATCTGAATTGGGGTAATTCCATTGGGGTCATTCTCCCTTTTCTTGAAAAATGGTGCACATTGGCAGCAGAATAGCTCTATGGTCTGGTCTGCAGAATTCAAGAAGTCTGGGACCCTTCCTTCATTCTCTCCTGCTTTCTTTGTCCTCTTTAGTTTAAACTGGCATATTGTTAATGGTATAATGCCATCTTTATTCCTGGCTTCTGCTAAGAAGGCTGATTAAGTCCATGACTCACACCCATGCTCTCTTTATCAGATAAATTGGCCATCTCCAACCCCTGGGCTGTGGACCAATACCAGTCGTGGCCTGTTAGGAACCTGGTCACACAGCAGGAGGTGAGCCGTGGGCAAGCGAACAAAGCTTCATCCATATTTTCAGCTGCTCCCCATCACTCGCATCACAGCCTGAGCTCTGCTCCTGTCAGATCAGGGCAGCATTAGATTCTTATAGGAGCACAAACCCTACTGTTTGTGCTCCTATACGATCCTACTAGATCCCTAGTGCGGGGGATCTAGGTTGTGGCTCCTTATGAGAATCTAATGCCTGATTATCTGAGGCTGGGGAGTGGCTGCAAATACAGATTATCATTAGCAGAGAGGTTTGACTGCACAGAGACCATAATAAATCAATTGCTTACAGATTCATATCAAAATCCTATCAGTGAGTGGCAAGTGACAATTAAGTTGCATCTGGTGGCAGGCTTTATAGTGGCAAGTGAGTTGATGCATTTCAATTGTACAGCTGCATATGGTGGCAGGAGTCAGAATCCAACAGGTATTTTAGTCCACATGTGGCCCGCCCATTATTTTATTTCCCACTTCCGTCTGCACCTGTCTCTCACACTGTGCTCTTGTCTCAGGTGCAGTTTTGGTAAGCCCACAAGTTAACCCTAGCGAAAATGAGTAAAAAAAAAAAAAATCACTGGAGAGCTTCTTTGAAAAGGGAGAAAGACCTAATGATGAGACAGCAGAAGACTCTAAGACTGCCAATAAAATGAAAGATGCATTTAAAAGAAAATACCAAGAGTCCTACTTAAATTACAGGTTTATTGCAACAGGTGATTTACATTCTCCAAGCCCACTTTGTATAATATGTAGTGACCAGCTATCCAATGAAGCCATGAAACCTTTAAAACTGCTTCACCAGGTGGAGACCAAGCACCTTGCATTAAAAGACAAGCCTTTGGAGTACTTTAAAAGAACAAAATGTGAACATGAAAAACAAAAGCAATTATTGGAGGCCACCATTTCATCGAATGTGTCTGCACTGAGAGCATTGTTCTTAGTGGCTAACCTCATTGCTAAAGCTAAGAAGCCCCTTACTATTGGTGAAGAGTTGATTCTGCCTGCTGCTAAGGACATTTGCCATGAACTTTTAGGAGAGGCTACAGTTCAAAAGGTGGCACGTGTTCCTCTTATGGCTAGCCCCATAACTAGACTAATTGATGGAATAGCAGAGGCTATTGAGGTACAATTGTTAGAGAGGATTAAAGAGTCACCGTGGTTCACAATCCAGGTTGATGAGTCTATTGATGTTGACAACAAGGCAACGGTGCTTGTTTTTGTGGGATATATTTTTCAGGAGGATGCACATGGGGCTATGTTATGTGCACTTTTGTTGCCAGCCAACACCACAGCTGCAGAACTATTCAAGTCTTTGAATGACTATGTATCAGGAAAACTGAATCGGTCATTTTGTGTTGATATATGCATGGATGGAGCTGCGGCCATGACTGGATGGCTTTCTGGTTTCACTAGTTGGGTCAAGGAGGTCGCTTCTGAATGTGAGTCTATGCGCTGTGTCATCCATAGAGAAATGCTGGCTAGCTGGAAACTGTCACCTAAACTAAACAACGTTTTGTAGGATGTGAGTAAAATTATCAACCACATCAAAGTACATGCCCTTAACTCATGTCTGTTCACGCAGCTCTGTGAGGAGATGGATGCAGAGCACACACGTCTTCTCTTATACACAGAAGTGACATTGTTTTCCAAAGGTAGATCACTGGCCAGAGTTTTTGAGTTACCAGAGCTACGCCAGATATTTCTTTTAGAAAAACAGCCAGTGTTCATTGGCAGCACATTTCAGTGACACAGAATGGGTTGCAAAACTTGCTTACTTGTGTGACATATTCAACCTGCTCAACAAACTCAATCTGTCACTTCAGGGGAGAACAACAACTGTGTTCAAGTCTGCAGATAAAGTGGCTACATTCAAAGCCAAACTGTAATTATGGGGGTGACGAGTGAACACTGGGATTTTTGACATGTTTCAAACATTAGCAGAGATTTTGAAAGAGACTGAGCCAGGGCCTTCTTTCTCCCAGATGGTGCATGCTCACCTATCTCAGCTTTCAAAAGAGTCTGAGCATTACTTCCAAATCACAAAGACCCCTGAACAGGGAAGGAGTGTATCCATGACCCATTTGTGGATAAGCCAGGTGAATCAACTTTGTGCTAGAAGAGGATCAACTGCTTGAGATCGCAAATGATGGTGCCCTCAAAAGTATGTTTGAGACAACTTCAGATCTCTATACGTTCTGGATTAAAGCCAAGGCAGAATATCCTGAGATTGCCACAAAAGCACTGAAAAATTTGCTTCCATTTCCAACATCCTATCTTTGTGAAGCAGGGTTTTCTGCAGTAACAGCAACCAAAACAAGATTACTCAGTAGACTGGGCATAAGCAACACACTTTGGGTGTCACTGTCTCCCATCACTCCCAGATGGGACTGTCTAGTTGCAGGAAAACAAGTTCAGAGCTCCCACTGATTCTGCATTATGGCGAATTGTATAATTATTTCATTATATATTACAATGTCATAGTAATAGAAATAAAGTACACAATAAATGTAATGCCCTTGAATCATCCTGAAACTATCCCCTGTCCAAGCCCCCAATCCCCCACCCACTACCCTACTCCCCATCCACGGAAAAACTGTGTTCCATGAAACCAGTCACTGGTGCCAAAAAGGTTGGGGACTGCTGAAACAAATGCTTGTTCAGCCACCCCCAAAGATAACAAGCTTTCTCATTTTTTGCAATATGGGTAGTCTGAGAATTTTCCAAATCTTCCAATTCTGATTTGATTATGCTTAAAAATTCCATATTCAATTCATTTTTCTCCCCTTGGATTTTACTATAAACAGTTAGGAGGAGCTGAGCCATTCTGCTATGGTCTGCATGTGACTCCCAAATTCATATATCGGAAACTTAATCCCCAATGCAACAGTGTTGAGAGGTGGAGCCTTTTAGGAGGTGTGTACATCATTAGAGCTTTGCCTTCATGAATGCAGTAATGCCATCATAACAGGTCTTGACAAGGGATTTTGTCCCCGTTTTTGTGCCTTTCTCTTTCCATCATGGGAGAATTCAACATTCCTCCCCTCTAGAGGATCCGTCTTAGGAGCAGAGAGACTCTCACCAGACATGAAAAGCCAGCACTTTGATCTTGGACTTCCCAGCAACCAGAACTATGAGAAATAAATTTCTGTCCTTTATAAATTACCCAGTCTAAGGCATTTTGTTACAGCAGCACAAAGCATACTAAGTCACATTCCTTTAACACTTTGCATAGAAATCTTCTCAGCAAAATATCCAGTTTCATCCCTCACAATTTCTACCTTCCACAAAACACCAGAACATGGTTCAGCCGAGTTCTTTGCCACTTTATAACAAGGACACCTTCCCTCCAGTTTCTAATATTTCCACCTGAGACCTCACCAGGTATAGTCCCTAACAAGCATGTTTCTAGCATGCACCTCAAAACTCTTCCAGCCTCTACCTATTATGTTGTTCCAAAGTTGCTTCCACATGTTTAAGTATTTGTTAAGACAACACTCCACTTATTAGTACTAAAATCTGTTTGTCAGCTCAGGCTACCATAACAAAATACCATAGACTGGATGGCTTAAACAACAGGAATTGTTGTTTAACAATCCCAGAGGGTGAAAGTCCAATATCAAGGTGCTACAGTGATTGAGTTCTGGTCTCCCTGATGTGCAATTGGCCACTTTCTTCCTGTGTCCTCAAATGACAGAGAGATCTGTTGTACCAGTTCTGTTGGATCAGGGCTCCACTCTCATGACCTCATTTGACCTTAATCACCTCCTTAAAGGCCCTATCTCCACTACAGTTGTATGAGGGTCCAGGGCTTCAGCACATACATTTGGGGGGGATGCAATAATGTATTTTTAAAAAGTTTGATTGAAAATGAACTTTGGAAATGACACTATCAAAGTTATTTGTTGCATATAAAAGATGGATGGGTGCTATCATAGCATAAATCATATTCATTATATAAACAAAATATTACATATGTGGTCTAAAAATTGTTAGTAAATAGAGTCAAGATTTATATCCTAAAATATTCCTTCTTAGGTTTTTGTTTTTTATTTGTTTTTTATTTGTTTTTTTGTTTTTGTTTTTGTGGGGTTTTTTAAGTTATTTCACCAGGATTCTAAAAAAGACAAGTCCGAATGGAGTAGAAATGGGAGCTTGCTCCATTGTCACTTCTCGTCTCTCCTCCCTGGCCTCTACTTCTGCGGAGTGAGGCAGCTCCGCTGACACACTACAGATTCCTATTTCATGCGAGGCCATCCCTGAAGATGTTGTCAGTGCTCTTTCCCAGGTCTCTGCTATTCCTGTTTGGGTCTAACTTTAGATTAAGTGATAGGTGTGCCACTATTCCTTCAAAAACAGGTCATGTCTGGCTCCCTGTGAGTTGTTCTAGTTTAATTGTGTGATTAAAATTAGAAAAGGGGATTTTATTTTATTTTATTTTTAGCTCGACACCAAGCTATTAGTCATTGGTATGTACTAAAGATACATTTTCTTCCTTTTCTTTCTGCTACTGATGGATTTTTTAGTTGGTCTTTTTTTTTTTTCTCACCCTCCCACCCCCCAAAGGCCAGGCTATCTGGTGAGAAAGTCACTCAAAGTTCTTCAATAGATTTGTTTATTTATGTTTAAACTGGATTATTATTAGCTATTTTGGCAAAGGACAAATTTCACTCTTTTTTTTTCTTTTTCTTTTTTCTGATTATTTCTTCATTTTTCTGTATTTCAGTTAGCCGGTTTCTATATGTGGCTAAATGATTCATTTGGAGTCAGTGCATGACTTTTTATGAAGTACTTCACATTTGAGATGATTGAAAAAAAACCTTCTGTCTTAAATATCTGTGTGTTGTTGTTGAAGATGAGATTGTGGATCTCTTTTTCTCCTGGTTCATTCATTTGACATTTTTATTTATATATCTATATATTTTTAAATTATAATCATACATAATTATGGGTAGGTCTCTTACTCTCAATGAAGGATGGCTCTCATGCCTGAGACAAAATAACAGTCAGAATGTTATTTGGTCAATTTAGCTGTGGTTGAGGAAAGGAAAAACAAAAACAAAATTTATATCTCACCAAATAATTTGCCCAATTTATATCCCTAAGTACTGATTATTTTTTCCTTTCTATCACTTTTTTCTCTCTGAATGGAGTGAGGTTGTTGAAGACATTTGGATCAAATTTTTAGGATAAACTTTTTATTTTAGAACACATTTAAATTTCAAAAAGTTTAAGATACAGAGAATTATTGCAGATGGTACAGAGAGTTCCTGTATATTCCACACCCAATTTTTCATGTTATTAACATCTCACAAAGGTATGGTATCACAATTAATGAACAAGTAAGGATACATTATTTTTAACAAAAGCTCATGATTTATTCAGAATTCTTGTTCTTCCCTAATGTCCTTTTTCTGTTCCAGAATCCCATTCAGGGTACTACATCACATTTAGCGTTGAAGTCTCCTTGGGCTCCTCTTGGTTGAGACAGTTTCTCAAACATTCTTTGTTTTCTGATGACTTTGGCAGTTTTGAGGAGTACTGATGGGGTATTTTATAGAATGTCCCACAGTTAAGATTTGCTGGATATTTGTCTCTTAATTGGAGTAGAGTAACGCATTTGAGAGAGCAAGTCTACAAAGATCATATCAAGGGTACATCCTATCAATATGACTTATCACTTTTGATATTAGCCCTGGTCATCTATCTGAGACAATGTTTTTCAGATTTCTTCACTGTGAAGTTACTCTTTCTATCTTCTTTTTCCATAATCCATTTTTAATTAATTAATTATTTTTATTTATTTATTTATTTATTGAGACAGAGCCTCCCTCTGCCTTAAATTCCTGGGCTCAATAAATCCTCCTGTCTCAGCCTCCTGAGTAGCTGTGACTACAGACATGTGCCACCACGCCTGAGTGATTTTTTCTAGTTTTAGTGGAGACAAGGAGGTCTTGCTCTTACTCAGGCTGATTTCGAACTCCTGACCTCAAGCAATCCTCCCAGAATGCTAGCACTGCACCTGGCCCATAAACTAAAACTAGAACTGCATGTTTTAGAAGAAAGTCATTGTATGAAACTCACACTTAAGGAGTGAGAAGTTATGCTCCACCTCAAGGAAGGCATGCTATCTACATAAATGAGTTGGAATTCTTCCATATTGGAGAGTTGTTCTTCTCCCCGATTTTTTTATCTATTCAATTATTTATGTATGTCAGTATAGACTCATGGCTATGTATTCTATATTTTGGGTTCTAAGCCAATGCTACGTTATTTATGTTGTTGCTAAACTGTTTCTAGCTGTGACCACTGGGAACTCTTTCAATTGGCTGCTATATCCCCTTGATACATATACCCATCATTGTGGGTTTGTTTTGTTTTGCTTTTTTTTTTTTTTTTTTTTTTTTTTTTTAGCACTTTCTTACTTTCTGGCACTTTAAGATGCATCAGGCTCACCTCCTATATTTCTCATCCCCAGCCCTCAAATAATCAGCCATTTCTCCAAAGGATCCTGGTTCTTTTGTTTTTCATTTTTTTTTTTTTTTTGAGAATTGTATTATTAATCAAAAGCCAGATCTGGGTGCTAGATGTGCTCCACTTAGACCAATTTTGATGTGCTATTTCCCATTTTCTGTTCAATTTAGCTTTAATATTGGCTTGTCATTGAGCACTTGATATTTCTCCTATGCAACATGAAGAAGGAATATTTTGTTTTATTCCCATTTATAAACTTTAGGTTTTGCTTCCAGATGCTTTGCTTTACCTACCAGCACCTCTAAAATCAGACTCACTTGACTGTATTAAAAAGGGCGTGCTTTTGTTTTACTTCAAGAGAACATAGGTTTCTTCTGCGGTCTACCTAGACATGAGGAAAATAGCAGAAATCAAACTGGAATTGATAGCTAAATGATTGTGCTGCATTTTAAAAAATGAATTAACAAAAGAAATTTGTACCTTACTTTAAGATTATTATTAATTAAATTACTTGCTCTGAGGCAATTATATTTTGGTTTTGTTTCTTCAAACCCTAGGTTATGGTGGCCTGCCTTTTGGCAGCTCTGAGAAACGTCATATCACAGTGGAGGCCAGTAGGCCTGGGGTGGGAAATTTCACTGGGCAAACTATAATTATTATATTGAAAAAATTACCTTCATCATAAAATATATTAATGTTAGAGCTAGAAGAAGTCTTGAAAACTATCTCCTTCAACTGGAGTTATCTTAATGTAGAAAAAATTGACTTACCTAAGCTCATTCATTTATCTAGCTGCCAAACAGGGGCAGAATTCAAGTGTCCTGAGATGACAGAGTCCACCCAGACTAGAAAAAGATTATACTCCATCACAAATGTATATATAAATTATATATAAATATATATATA